AAGAGGAAATGGCCGAGCGTGTGTGTTGTCTGGGGGTCCAGAAACTCCACGCTCGCATTTCCGGGGTGGTCTTTTTCCCTTAGCCCAGGAAGCGTTCACAGTTGCTGGTATTCAAGATAAAAATAGGAAACGTGACCGGGATTTCACACCTCCTCTGTATGTACGTCTATCCTCCATCTTATCCCTTCTATTTTAGGTCATTGTTTCCCGAAAGAAGGCCTACAGACCGGCCTCTTTTGTCACAGAGCGATAGCGCTATGTAGTGGGTGTCGACATGACTCTCCTTCGTCTTCAGGAGCGATCTCTGGTGTCTGCCTGGAGTGTGGGGAGGAGCTGCATGGCCTCTGCCAATGCTTCCAGTACTTTGTTATACATTGATGAAAACCTTGATGGCTCCAGTGAAGCGAGAAGTAGAACTCTGTATCCCGTTCTTTAGGGCTCCTACAAAGGACGCTACTCGAATTTAAAGTCCGAAATGTCCTTGTGTTGTGAAATTTGCCGTAAATAGTAAGGAATCGTCCTGAGGTGATGTTTCAGAGTCAAGTGAGTCCAGGTGTCTTACACTTCTGCTTCTGGCTTTGTCTTTCCCAGGTTCAGGTGGAACAATAGAGGCTGCATGTGGGTGAAAAAACTGCTGAGGTGACCACTGCATTTTGCTGACGACAAGTCAAGTTTAGTGTCGAGGCTTCAATCAAGAATGGACAATAAGTTAGCGTAGTGAATTAAACATCAAGCTTACATACAAGCATAGTTTACCTTAATTCCTTCCCAGAAGTCTCGGGTCCCGTGTACAGAAGTGATTTGCTTCAAGTCGTGGTAAGTTGCTCCAGTGTACACGTACTTATCCTCTGACACTGACGTATAAAGCAGTGTGCATGACGTGCAGGAGACAATCCCAATTAATTAAGGCCAGCCAAATGGCAAACCAAGACAAGTGTGCTTCCATGGTGGCAGGCGATTTTCTTCTGTAAAAGGTTCAGGTGTTCATGTTTAACAGTTAAAAAACACATTGAAAAGGAGAATTTACGGCAACACCTCTACTTCAGCTGTGGCTCAGTATGCTAGCTTTAAAAAGGGCCTAAGTATATTTTGTGGTTTCCTTTGCTATAGTGTGTTATAATGGTTTTTGGTACACACTTAAAAGTAAGACATACCTTCTAAAAGGGTAAATGTTTGTATTCATTGATTAATTAGGTGTGAACACATTTCAATAAATCTTATAAGCTGTTTATAGACATTGAGCATGAACAGGGACTGTTGACGTTGCTGCCAAATAGTGAGCCCACATTTATCTGTACTGCTAAGCCTTATGGCTACTTAGCTTACTACATCTTCTTCATCAGCCAGCATCCTTGGTATCTGTTGTTCACTGAGTTGATTCTCGCTAAGTAGCCAATATAAGGCTTATTCATCTTGCCAAATAGTGAGCCTGTGTTGATGTATGAAAACTATGTTAGAACTGGTTTATAAATGGTTCTTAATGATTAATAAAGTGTTTACAACCTAATTCTAAACCCTTTATGAATCCTTTATGAGGGTAGTCTTATTGTAAAGTGGTACCCATTAATCCATTGGGGTTTTCACTAACCTTTACAAATGAAATGGTAATAACGAAATCTAATCCCTTGATCTTCTTTAAATGTAACTCTTTCATTATAATTACCAGTATTTGTATGTCAAAACATAGTGCCTAGCACTTAAGGAAACATACTTTTAGCCGATAATGAAATGGACAGGCTTCCTAAAACTTGAAATACGGAGAAGCCTCCCACCTGCCTGATGATGATGATGATGATGATGATGATGATTAGGTTTAACTGCACTCTGAAACTGTTATGTCTAGGTAGCGAATGACCCAACAAGTCATTATCCAGCTGTATTTAAGAGCTAGCATCACCTGGAGCTCCTGATGTTCTCTCAGCAGTCGGTCGTACTCCCTGGCGAGACCATCTGCCTGCTTCTTCATTACGTCTGCCTCGGACTGGGACTTCTTCACAGCTGAAGTGGAAACAAGCACACATTAACATAGGGAAGCCACATTTTAGACGATGTGCGAAAATTATTTAACATGACGGAGGATATTTGCACATGTACATGGATATTTACCATCTTCTGAGGTCTTCAGCTCCTCTTTCGTTTTCTCCACTTCTTTCCTCAACAGCTCCATGCCCTCTGCAGTAGCCTTATCGCCCTTCCCCTCCATCAGAGTCTGAAAATGATTATCACAGTTACTTGTCAAGCTAACTGCTACGATGAGATGAAATGTTCACAGTGTGTCTTCACATTTAAAGACGGTTAATGAAGGGAAGCAAACGAAGTATGATAGATAAGTGTCTCAAACATAGGTGGGTCAATTGTGTCTGTCTCTATATACAAGCAAAAAACAAACAGATGGTTGTAAATAACAGGGTTTTGGACAACACAAGGTACATTAACTAAAGTCTGACTCTGACCACCCATTGGCCACTCACCTGGACAAGAGGAGTGGATGTTAAAAGAAAGAAAACACCCAGGAATCTGGCCTTAAATAACTGGAAATGTTTTAAACTGTCTCACAATGTCTAAAAAGAATCTCCACTGCAAGAGGAGTTTAAATTATAAGCAAAAAAAGCAACATATAAAGTCCGACACATTTTGTTTGCTTTTAGAAGTCAGGTACATTGTTCATTAGAAGGGTGTAGGGATGCCAGCGATTATTCGATTATTCTAATATTCGTTAGTCTCCATAATCGAAAATTATTTTAAAAATTCGATTTTATTTATATATATTATTATTTATGTTTTTTTTTCTTTTTCTGGCTTAGTTTCAACCAAAAATATAGACTAATGCTAATAATAGTATTAATAATTGTAAATGGCCATTGGTCACACCCGTCACACCACCAGTTTGTTTTACTGTAAACTTGGAGGAAGCCAGCAGCGCAGAGTTACTGCTACACACCACCGCCCCCCCCCTCTCCGTCACACGCGCGATTGATTTATTGGAGCGAGAACACAACTAATGATGAACAAAGTAAAGAGGGGGGGCGGGCGTCGAATAATCGATTATTATTCGCCAGGGCTGTCCGATTTTGATCATGGTCAGTTTCTGGCATCCCTAGAAGGGTGTCAGACTTATTCATTGTCTGACGAAGATTTTGCATTATATAAAACATATTTAGTGTAGTCTATGCCGAACCTTTTTCAGCAGCTCATTG